CCCTCTACTGGTCTCTATGGGTACCTGCAATCATGTGGCTTATAAACACCCCCCGCAACACACATACATAAAAGTAAATCTTTTTTTTTTAAGTTTGAGAAAGTACTACATTTATTTTATTCAGTCCTGTTCAGAGCATGGATACACTGCAATCAGAACTCTTTTTTTTTTAAGAATTATTTATCTTACATATATGAATACACTATAACTGTCTTCAGATACACCAGAAGAGGGCATTGGATCCCATTACAGATGGTTGTGAGCCACCATGTGGGTGCTGGGAATTGAACTCAGGACCTCTGGAAGAGCAGTCAGTGCTGTTAACCACTGAGCCATCTCTCCAGCCCCAAAAGTAAATCTTAAAAAAAAAAAAAATACAGCCCGGCAGTGGTGGCACACACCTTTAATCCCAGCACTTGGGAGGCAGAGGCAGGTGGATTTCTGAGTTTGAGGCCAGCCTGGTCTACAGAGTGAGTTCCAGGACAACCAGGGTTACACAGAGAAACTCTGTCTCGAAAAACAAAACAAAACAAAAACCCAAACAAACAAACAAAAAACCAAACAAACTAAAAACTTAAAAAAAAATACATATTTGAACTGGCCATGGTGGCACATACCTTTAATCCTAAGGACTCAGGAAGCTTAGACAAGAAGACTACAAAGTCTGAGCCAGCCTGGGCTACCTAGATAATTCCAGGCCAGCTTGATAACTAAATAGAGAAATTATGTCTCAAAAAGCCAATATAGATATTTAAACCCACTATATATGGCACATATAAATTATATGTGTGTATATGTTATATATGCACCATATATATGTTAACTTTGAATTATTTTGTGTATATACATAGAAAAGGAATAGATACATAAGTGATTCTGTTACTTATTTTATAAGGAACAGAGTAATTTCCACAGTAGCTGTAGCGTCTTCCATTCCCAGAGACCAAGAAAGCACATTCCAGTTCCTCCATGCTATAACTATCTGTCGTTATCTACTGACAGTGGCTGGTCTTCGGTGTGTGTGGCACATACTCAATGTGGTTCTTACATCTCTCTAATTATAAGTGATTTTTGGAACAACTTTTTGTGTGACTATGAGCACGGTAATATCTTCTCAAGAAAAAGAAAAGTCCCTTTATTCCTTTGCCCAAGTTTGAGTTGTTTGGTCTTCATTTTGTAACAGTCACTGTGTGAAGCACATTCACCGAGACATGGCCGTTCATTGTATGTTAGCTATGACTCCTACAGATACCCAGCCCAGGAACCAGAAAAGACCAGGAAGGATGGAGGACATGGCTCATGCAAGTGCAGTGAGCTGGGTGTGATTCCCAGCACCTGTGTAAAAGCCAGGCTGGGAAGTGCGTACCTGTCGGTTTCAGTGCTGAGGAGACAGGAAGAATCCAAGGACTTACTAGCCTGATAGTTTAGTTAAATAAGTAAGCTTCAGGCTCAGTGTGAGACAAAAATCTCAAGGGAAAAAAGGAAGGTAAAGAGTAGTTGACCTGATGTTATCAACTGCTGATTTCTGTATGCACACGCACACATGTGCACACACAATCTCTCTGTCCCTCCCTCCTTCTCTCTTCCCCTATCTCCCTCCCTCTTTTACTCTCAATTAATATTTGTGTCTACCTACTTAACTTTTATCACAGTCCCCTTTCCCTGCTATTTCATCTGTGTTTAAGTTAATGTTTAATAAAGGTCAGCATAAAGTATTATGATCTTACCAGATTAATAAATATTTCTCTTCAATGAACTCTTATGTTACAAGCCTTACCTTTTAATTAATTACTTATTTCCTGGTGACCCATACATCTGCCTATGGGTACTTGTTTCTTAACTACTGTAACAGTAAGCAGCTGGAACTTGGCATAAGGACAATACCCAGCAGGGCTGTCCTCCAACATGTTCTAAGTTACAGGGAGCTGTCCCAAGAAGTGGTTGACAAAGGCTAGAATCCATGATCTAGCCTCCATCAGAGGATGCTTCTTCAATGAGTTCAGCTCTTTTGTGTGTGAGGTAACACAAAACACCCACAGCACTATGCTCACACGCTGCTGCACACGCTATCCAGAAAAGTAGGCCTGCCCATCTCCAGGTGCTCAGAGGCAGTTACGGCCTCTCAAGTGCTTAAATGAGAGAGAGAGAGAGAGAGAGAGAGAGAGAGAGAGAGAGAGAGAGAGAGAGAGAGAGAGAGAGAGAGAGAGAGAGAGAGAGAGAGAGAGAGAGAGAGAGATATTCTGGGTTAAATTACAACATCTCCACATGGAAAATCTTCTGTACCCCATTCTATGCCTTCTCAGGGAACCATGGTTATTTTTGGATCACTAATTTGCAGCACTGACAAATCCATCCCTGTGGGAGAGGAAAAAGCAAATCTTCTTAATTTCCTGAACATTGATAGTATGTCGGACACTGCCATTCACATCAGAGATCAAAAGTTCAACAATGTGTGGATCCTTCAAAGCAGCTTATGATTGAGTTGGGTGAGAACACCCATAAGACCAGTCATAAAGGGTGGAAAGATTTATAGGGGAACATCTTTGAGAAGAAATGAACATTTGGCCCAATTAAGACTTCTGGATGGGGACAGATATTGAGCCTAGGGCCTGCTCACCTCTTCCTATCAGCCTAGCATTTCACAGCAGCCTGACACACAATGACACATTGCCAATGGAGGTTTTACACCCTACAGGGTGAATGAGGAGCCGTGGTACCAATGGAGCACCATCCTGTAGGATTTCCAGCATCAGAAATATCAGAGAACGTCAAGGATCATATTTGGTCTTAGGCCCTGCTTGACTGAGAGCCCCCATTTGGTCTCACTACCCAGCTCTTCCTGTGAACAAAGGAACAAACACCACTCCAACAAGTCAATGAAATCAGTCTTTGAGCCACTGGTAATAAGCTGAGATGTAGAGTGAATGCAGTTCAGACTTTACTGGGGATTGGACAAGGCTGGTCTCTCAGCAAGAGTCGGGAGTATAGTGTCAATTAAGCTGCTCCAAGTACAGCCTAGGACCATCTGGTCGGAAACCAGTGGAGGGGAGACAGTGATCCTGGGAGAGGAGAGAGGAACAGAAGAGGAAGACTGTTACAGAGTGGGCTCAGGAGGCAAGTATGGTTGGAAGGCCAGGACCACAGGAGCCCTGACGGATCTTACCTACCAGCGTCAGCCCTCCGTGCAGGGTCCTACTTGTTGCCCCATGTGGCCTGTTTTAAATACACAGGACTTGGAAGGAAGCGGCTGGTCTTCATATAGGCAGAGATCTTCTTCAGGCCCTGCAGATGAGGAGAAACCAGGATCTCAGCTCTGCAAACCCACTCCAGGAACACACAAGAGACTTTAAAATCCAGAGGAAGTAAAACCACCCAACCACCCTGCAAAATCAGCCCCACCATCACACCAATCAGCAGGGATGCTGAGATACCAGAGGTTAAGAAACTTCCTCATTCTCCCAAGACTGAGAGGGTCAGCCCAGCACTGTGGCTGCCACTCTGCTCTCTGTGCACTCTCTCCTGCCTCCCACAGGGGGCACTGTCACTCCTGGCTGCAATGGCATGCCTGTAATTAAAAGAAGCAAGGATCCAGAAAACCAAAAGGGTTGAGAACTTGCTTGTGTGGCTTGGAAGAGAGTCCAGGTGCCACGCAGTGATTCAGCAAACCCTCAGTGTAAGCAGAGAAGGCTGAAGAGACTGCAAAACAGGAGTGGCCAGCTCTGCAGATCAGGCATGACCACTGAATATGCCTTGGTCCTGCACGTCAGTTGGCCTTTGTCTCTTCCTAATGCTTACAGGAGCAAACACATTCTTCATATGTTTGGCAAAGCACAGGTCCTGAACAAGAAGCCCAGGCTGTACAAAGGCCTGACTCTCCTTTTTGAGCAAATCAGAAAACACTGAATTCGGTCTGTTGAAATGTGCTGATCCAAGGCATTCCCTGAGGCCCTGGTGCAAGGAGAAGGAACACAGCTCCTTCTCTAAGACCAGGGATGTTCTTGGCTGAGCTGATAATGGCCTGGGGTCAGAACCTTGAGGACCCTGTGGCTTCTGATCCTGAAAATCCAGTTTTTGCCAATGTACAGGGCTATGGTTATCAGTCCCAAGGTCACTGTGTGCTAAGATTATATGGTTCTTGAGATAGTCTCTGTTTCCCCTTTGCAACATTGCTTTCTTAGTTTTCAGCTGACTACATCCCATTTCTCCACTGGAAACAGTATATAAGATGGCTATATGTCTTAATGAGTTTCCTCAGCATAAGACCTGATAGCCCAGCCTTACATTCTATCTTTTCTATCTTTCTCATCTCCTGGACACTTTCCACTTAGGACACTGTCACTAAAGAACAACTTGCTGGTTCAGGTCCATTGCCTTTAAAAGCTGAAGGCAGTCAGGAGCCCAGAACAGCCTCTACTCCTGCTAGGATGTCAAGCAAGCAGCTTACCCTCCACAGTCTCAAGTTCCTTATCTGTTCAGTGTGACAGCTAATTCTATCCAGGTCGCCTGCATGTGGCAATGATATATTGACTCCGCAGATCTAAGAGTCTGAACATGGGTCTGGCAGAAAGTGAGTGCTCAATAGATCAGAACTAGGGAAGCAACCTGGAAAGGGAGGAAGGGAAGTAGAGCATCCAAGAGGAAGCAGGATCAGGGCATCACCTCAAAGCAGGCCACAAAGTCCATCAGGTTTAGGAAGGCATCCAGGCACTTGGGCTCAAACATCTGGTGCTGATCAAGGACGTCATAGACAAAGAAATCTGCAAAGGTGACCTGCAGGAAGTGAGGGTCAGTGAGGGTCAGTGAGGGTCAGTGAGGGTCAGTGAGGGTCAGTGAGGTGGGATCCAGGAGCCTGGGAAGGGTGGCAGCTCCTCCTCCTTACCTCCTCCTTACCCTCTGCACCTTGTTCCCTGCAAACATGGCCACTATCCCAGGAACTCGGAGTAGAGCTTCAGCTGGTCTGGGAGGCCCTTCAAGAACTCTGGCTTTCACTTCTCCTGAGATAGAAAACAGCTAATACAACTCTTAGGCACAGGTATTCTAGAGAAAGGCTGGCGTCATAGGGTTGGGCAGAAGAGTAGCCTCCTTTCTATTTGGGGCCTGTGTCATTACACTGGTTTCTATGTAATGCATTCCTGTTGTATTAATCAGAGTCCTGCTTGGTAGCAGAGCTGACTCAGGGGTGACTGGGAGTTAGATGGGAATGCCTGTCCCTGGACCTGTCACCACCGACATCTAAACCAGGACAACTTTGCGGTTGCTCATAAGTTCTGCACCTGAAAGTCCAGTGGAACTGGAGAAGCAAAGTAGTTAACAAGAGACACAATTATTCCTGAGAAATGGCACAGAGCAGGGCCAATATTTGAGCAGCATGAGCAAAGTTGAACCATGTTCGATGTCAGAAGGGACAAAGGTCCTCAGGCTGACCAGGAACTTCCAGTCAGGAAGAGACCCTTCTACCAGGGACGCGGCTCTGAGAAAGCTGATGGTGGATTTCTGAATACATTAGGTTTATTTTATTTTCTTCCGGTTTGAACCTGTGCACTCAACGAGCAGGCAGATTGTATGTGACCAGCTAGGCAAAATGCCATACCACGGTGGTCAAGTTCAAAGCCAGAGAGAATTCTGAGTATATGAATTTATTATATAGAAACTAAATGCCCAGTCATGGCTATCACAACAATACCAAAGATTTCTAAGAATTGATATAAAGTGTTTATTAATAAGATTTGGGAATTAGGATTTATGTTTATTATATAAAATGTTTACTAATAAGAATTGGGTGATTGCGTTGGATGAATTGGAAAGCTTGGAGAATCAGAATGGGTAAGTTCAGGTACTAAACAGGACAAGTGTAGATATTAACACAAGGCTTTAACCGCTCCTGCAAACCTCTGTCTGCTCCACACAATAAGGACTTAGAGAGTCAGCACTTTAGCAGCCCATGCTCATCTGCATGCGGGTGTCCATAGCCTGGTTCTCCAAAATGTGCATACAAATCCTCTGTCACTCCACCTGCAGCACACACAGCACAGACTCACTCTCAGCATCCTGCCCCAGCCAAGTCAAGAGGAATGGCTTCTGTCCCCAACCCTGCAGCCAGCCCCACTCACACAGGTTGTGCTTGAGGCCAAAGTAGCACAGGATGGCATTGCTCTGGGTGACCTTGTGTGAGCCATCAATTAAATAAGGCAGCTGGATGGACAAGCAGGGACAGTCAGATGGGATATGAGGTCCCAACATCTCTTCCTTGGGTGAGGACAGACATGGGGCCTGGCACTCAGTGTGCCTGCCATGGGAAGCCCTCCATGAACATGCTGCCCACTGAACGGGAGCTGAGACACAGCCCATCACAGAAACACTGTGTAACCCACCAGGAGTGGGAACAGGTGAGCAGAAGCACTCATCTCAACCCCTTCAGCCAAGCCAGGCGATGAGATGACAATATTTCCTCTTTCTTGCACCTACGTTGGGAAAGTCCCAGCCCAGCTTGAAGTTATCACTTGCCTGCTGGCTTCATTCCTAACAGCAGCTGTGGCAGACAAAATAATGTAAAAAGCTCTCCTTCTGCACATCCTTCCCACCCCTGGGATCCTCCCAAAAGGTCAGGGCAAGCCCTCCTGAGGTACAGGAATCTGTGATCTGAGTCATTCAATCTTACATCCCACAGTTTTAATCGAGAATATTCCTTCAAAGGCTCTAGACCCTCCCTGACTAAGGTACACACAAAACATGGGCAAGTGCTAAACAAACCCTACAGGACCACAGGTGAGGATGGAGCCAGCGCTTCACTCCCAGGGTTATTTATTGAAAACCAAAGCTGCACCCTCAAGGAAGTTTCTGGAAGGGATAAGCTCTGGGTTTATCTGAAGGAGATCCACAGAGCTAAGAAACAGAGAGCCAGGTAGAAGCTGCTGGCACCAGTGGACAGAAGTTAGGGAGGAGTGTGACTAGGAGAATGTCATTACCGTCCCCCATGGCGTATCTCTTCTCCTCATAGCTTGTTTCTGTGTATTCCAGGAGCAGGCAGATGGCATGACCTAGCTGTGAGAGATGGCCAGTAACAAAAGTCACCATTAGTGAGATCATAAACGCATGACTTAACCCCTTCTAGGAAAGCCTCCGTCTCTACACCTAACAAGAGAACAGGGACAGGCAGAGGCCTCCTGACAGGAACAGACAGGAGACACTAGAAAATGCTGGAGAGGATCTAAGAACCAGGCCTAACTCTTCAGTGTGTGCCATCCGGGGCTCTTCCCACGTAGCAGCCCAAGCTTCTACTCAACCCACGGATATCCTAATAACCCAGAGTCTTAGGCATGTTTTCTGTCCTAGCCTTGGAGACTGAGCAGGCAGGGTTTGGTCTAGATGATTTCACCTTCAGATATCAGTGCATAGGGGATGGTGTCTCTCTGCATGCAGTTCCTGAGCCTTCCCTGTCCCACTCCCAAATGGGCCAACCCTCACAGAAGCCCAATTTACTCGGACAGTAAGATCCAGTCCAAACTCTACGGTCTCCTGGGGCAGGTCTGAACATTCAGATGCCAAAGGCAGTGATTGGCTGGCCTGCTCTAGTGGATCTCTGCCTACAGCCCCTCCCCCTGCTGGGTCCTCGGGAAGTTGGCAGTGCCCCCTGGAGACTGGCCAGATAGGCAGAGAATGAGGCGGTTCTCCTTCCTTTCATTGCTGGGCTCAATTTTCACACCTAGACTAAGAATTTGTCATCCAAGGAGGCTCACCCCTCAATATAAGGAGCAAAAAGGCATGGCTCCTAACCTGAGAGCTTAATCCAGCATGCATCACTGCTTCTGGAACTCTGTAGTCTGAAAGCTCTCACAACGTCATCGTCTGCACAGCCTAGGGTTACAGGAATGTGAAGTGACATGGAAATGACCCCAGGACAGTGACAAACAGCAGAGCAAGCTGTCTCTGTGTTTCCCTTAGGGGATTTGGTTGGAGACCCATCTCTTTCATCATCGAGCCAATGAGCATAGAAATTAATCAGCATTTTGGCCATGTTTGTGAGCTCAGTCCAAGAACCCGGCATAGAGGGCATAAGGACTTCAGGTTTCCCAGCACCACTGACAGCAGTTAGTCTATGGTATAACCTCACACTCCCCGGCACAGTGGAAGGACGCACAGAGCTCACAGCCAGAGTTTGCCAGGGTGTTTACCATGTGAGCATGTGCTCAGGGACACAGATACATCTCCTGCTTCCAAGGACTATAGAACCCTGTTTAGAGGAGACATGGGGTATCTGCATAGGGTCTAGGGAGCAGAAGGCCAAACTCCTGTCCAGTTCCCTGGCATGAGCCATGTATGGCCCCTCCTGACTCATGTATGTCTAGGAATGAGAAATGATGCTCTTCACATCATTGTGGTACCTGAGACTGGAGGTAAAAACAATATCCTACCAATGTTACTCGAAAACCAAGTTTCTGTTGTTTAGGTTTTTAGTGTTTGTCTTAGTGACTGTTCTATTGCTAAGAAGAGACCCTGTGATCATGGCAACTCTTATAAGAGAAAGCATTTAACTGGGGCTTCTTACAGTTTCAGACGTTTAGTCTGTTATCCTCATAGCAGGGAGCATGGCAACACACAGGCAGACAGGGTAGCTGAGAGTCCTGCATCTGCATCAGAAGGCAGCAGGAAGAAAGTGCCACTGGGGCTGGCCAAGGCTCTTGAAACTTCAAGCTGACCCCCCACTAACACATCCTCCAGCAAGGCCATACTGAATCCTTTCAAACAGGATCACTCTCTGGTAACTAAGCATTCAATTCCATGAGCCTATGGGGGCCATTCTTATCTGAACCTCCACAGTATCACTGATAAGTGAATTTTAGAACAAACTCAGGAGAATGGGAAATGGCTCTGTGGGTAACAGCTTGCCAGGTGTTTCAGTTAGGGTTGCTTTTGCTGTGATAAAAGACAATGACAAAAGCATCTGAGGAGGAAGGTTGTTTCAGCTCTCAGGTCACACTTTCACTGAGAGAAGTCAGGGCAGGAACCGCAAACAGGAACCTGGAGGCAGGAACTGAAGCAGAGGCCATACACAGAGAAACACTGCTTATTATCTTGTTTGTCATGGCTTTCTCAGTCTGCTTTCCTATACCACCCAGCACCATCTGCCCAGGGGTGGGTAGCACCCCTCCTCTCCAGTGAGCTGGGCCCTCCCACAACAATCATGAAATGCCTTACAAACCTGTCTGATGGAGGCATTTTCTCAATTGGGTTCCTCTTCTTAAATAACTCTTACTTGTGTTAAGTTGACAAAAACCTAACCAGCACATCAAACATGAGTTAGATTCCCTAGAACCTACATAAAAAATAAGATATGGTGGGGTGCACCTGTGACCCTAGAGGTGAGGAGGTAGAGACAGGAGGCTTCCTGGATTGTCACTCTGGCTGAATCAATGAACTACAAATTCAGTGAGAGACCATGTCTTAAAATTAAGGTGGAGAGTCCTTGAAGAAGACACCAGATTTCAACACACACGTCAATACATTCATGTGTGCATGCGTGCGTGCGTGCGCGCGCACACACACACACACACACAAGACTCAGTGAAGGAATAATTGTGTGATTCTATAATCACAACCCTTGGGAGGCAGAAGCAGAGGACCATCCTTTGCTACATACCAACTTGAGGCCAGCCTGAATTACTAGATGGGAAAATGGCAAATGAGTCATGTGTTTTCAGTTGGTTTCCAAGAAAGCAGGTAGGCACAGCAATGGAGGTTTGGAAGCAGCTGTATGAGATGGGAGATGCCTTCAAGGAATGAGAGTCAGGGGAAACAGCAGAGCAGTGAGGTGGAAGAAAGGAACATTTTACCTTTCAAGTTAGAATTCAGAAGAGCAGCAGGCCTGGTCCATCCATAAGCAGCTACACCAAGGGAGGGACCTCTGGGGTATGTAAGTGTATTACCTCATCATATCTTCAGGGAATCAGCTTTCTTGAAGAAGTGGTCTCCAAGCCAGGGCATTGACAAGTACAGCTGGATAACTCTTAAGAGAGAAGACATTAGTATGTACGTGTAAGCTTATGTTTTGGACAGTTTAGAATATCACACGTTTCCGTAAAAGGTCTTAGCCATGCCCTGATACCTTTGGTTTCCTCTCTCATGTGGCATTTGAATTTTAAGGAGGAGCAATCCCAATGTCACCCTTTCTTAAAGAAAAAAAGGAAAACAGAAGACTGATTATGACAATTCAGTTTGTCTTCAAATAGCTTCTCAGTCTGCTAAGGCCAGCCTAGCTGCCTGACACCAAGGGCACTGTCCCTTATACCAGTGTTCTGACTTAAACGCCAAGAGCCTTCTTTGAAGGTTCAAAACCAAGAGGTGGGAGGCAGGTAAACTGGCCTGTGATTGACTTGCATGTCTAAAGGAATGGGATTAGCATGGGGAGGTAGTGAACTTAGGGGATAGGGGTCCCTTCCAGAGGAGGGAAAGGACTGGGCCAGAAGAAAGAGGTTGGAACTTAAAACTGAAGTGAGTTTGCAAGTCAAAGGACAAGGGTATCACTCTGCAGCTCTTGGCTAGGACTTCAGATTGTGACCCCAGTGTTCAGTAACTGTTTGACATCACAAGGTAAAGTAGTGTAGAGGGCAGGGGACAGGCAGGGACCATCTGAACACTCCAGTCAGAGAAGGCCCATGCTCTGCAGGTCTCTGTAAGAATGGGAACCCGGAGACAATGTCACAGGGGCTGGCAGAGCCACCACCTGTGGCAAATGCCACGCTGGCATTTAGATAGGACTATCCTGCCAGTCTCAGGTTTCTGGGCTGTGTCCAAACTCAGAAAGTTGAAACTTTAAAGAGAACTTCAGTGTAAGGCTGCCAAAAGCATGATGACAATAGAGTGTTATTTTAATTAAATTAATAAATTTTTTTTAGTCAGGAACTCACTCTCAAAGAAGAATTTTTTCAAAGACTTAATTTTTTTTAAATAAAAACTCTTAAGTGGTAGCCAAAGGTGGAACAATGAAAACAAATTTTTCAAGTGAAGGAGGACAAATGACTTCAAATTTGAAACCATTGTTTTGTATATACAATAGTGTTGAAGTGGTTCAAACATCAGAAGGATGGAACAAGGGTTAAAAGAAATTAGGATCTGCCAGACAGGCAGAGAGGGGGGCGAGGGGAGGAGGGGAAGGGTCAAACAGGCCTTTAATCCCAGCACTCAAGAGGTTGAAGCAGGCTGACCTCTGAATTTTGGGGGCCAGCCTGGTCTTCAGAACAAGTTTCAGGACAGCCAGGGCTACACAGAAACCCTGGCTCAAAAAACCAAAGTAACAACAACAGAAAGAGATCAGGGATTTGAGTTGGCCCGCCCCATCTATGAACTTCTGGAGCTTGTAAAGGGGCTGGTCCTGCAGGAACCGATCTGCAGGACCTCAGTGACACAGGGCAGCAACAGGATATATGAGTACTGGTGTGCAGCAGAAGCCAGAATCCTCCAACCATCCATGACTCATCGCAAACATTAGCTTCCTGGGCTCCTCTGAGGGACCTAGCAAGGGCTTACTCATCACCTGCTGCCATTTCCAGCCTCCAGGTGCAGCAGCGCACCACCCACCCCCTCCCTTTCTGTCTCCCTCTCTTTTTCTCTCTACTCCCACATGTTCCCGGTTGGCCCCTCTTCCCTTTTCTGTCCTTTCTGTCCTCTGTTCTCCCATCTGCGCCCTCATGGCTCTGCTCCTGTCTGTCTGCCTCTAACCCTTCTCTCCCTCCCCTTTCCCTAAATAAACCTCCTTGATACCCGATCTGTCTGTAAGATTTCTCAGAGGGCACTTGACATGTGCCCTCCAGGTACCCCTGTCCTCTGCCGCCTTATATTTTATAAGAGCAATGAACATTTGCAATAAAACGGTTTGGGCAAAGAGGTATTTACCCTGTGACACACCGTGACACACCATAGCTTCCGCTGTGAGATGTTTTTGCTTTGTTTTGTTTGTTGTTGTTTTGTTTGGGGGAAGGGTGACACAAAAGGAACAGGAGATGAGGGAGTTCAGGGTGCAGGATGTGAAATTCACAAAGAATCAATAAAAAGTAAAAAAAAAAAAAAAAAACCGAAAAGAAAAGAGAGAAAGAAATTAGGACTGGACTACAGTTATGAAGCAGGAAGCAGAAAGTCGACCAGATAAAAGGTTATGTGTTCTGAAGAACTGGGTGCGTGAAATTTCAAAGCCTCCCCAAACTTAGAGTTTTCCACCCACTGTCACCAAATATGCACAGGTGTGGCACACACAGCCACCTGGAGCAGCAGGGAGAGTGGCTGTAATCACTGTGCTTCCTGCCCTGACCCCTTACACATGTGCTATCACAAGAAAATGTGACGCTTGGTCCTTGTCACATGTATCCTTGAATACAGTGTGCCAGGGAGAGAGTCAGAAGAAAGAGGCGAGGCACTGTAACAACAGGAAAAAAAAAGTGTGAAAAATTGAATATATTTATCACACAGCCCAGGACACAGACCTATTGAAATAAACTCCCATCAAGAAAGACTCATCTTGCCTGGCATGGTATCTTATGCATGAAATCGTAGCACTTAGATGCAGCGGCAGGAAGATTGATAGAAGTTCCAGTCAGGTGCATATAGTCAGTTATATTAAGGGCTATATAGTAAAACCTTGTCTCCTAAAAAAACAAACAAACAAAAAAAAAACCGGAAAGGAACAAACCAGATGACAGATTCATTTTTCATGAATAAATTTAAATTTTAGATTTTAAAAGGTTCTTCACTTTTATTTAAAAGTGGAGTCTCCATTGGCATAATCACTGATCAGAGATTTTCTGAGTGGTCACCACTGGGAAGTTCTGCAGCATCTTGATGGGGAAGCCATGAAATGTTCCACAATTCAGAGCTCCACAGCAAAGAACCAGCCAGTCCAAATGCAGTCACAACCAGGTGAGGGGAGCCTACCTCGTCTGTGAACCACAAATGACTCAGAATCCACAGTTGGAGAAATTCAGCCTTAGAAATGCTGGTGGGTAAGAGGTAGAGCAGAGCTGCTGCTGGCCTGGAAACAGCTGGGGAAGTGGAGATGGGGAAGCCCTTGGGGCATCAGGCTGCACAGTCACAAAGGGTGTGAGAGACTTGAGCAGACAGACACTTGACTCTACCAGGTGGAGGAGACACTGGTCAGCTTGATCATCCAGGATACAGGGTAGGACAGGTGTGACTCTAGTGGTCAGAAAACCAACCCTCCTGTCCCCCAAGCCACCCCCCTACAGCCTTCAGAAGCCTGTCCCAAGGTGTGATGATGTACATTGCCTGAGTTCACTGAGAAGCTGACTCTGAAAGTGGGCAGTGTCCCGACTCATATCAGGTCCAAGCATATTTGTCTCATAACGCAGAGCCTGGGGGGTGGGGGGCTGCTTGAGATTTAATAATAAAAATAAATAAAATATTTTAAAGTAAAACGTAGCTAAACAGAGACACTGTACAGTATAAGGCTGTTGGCCTGTTTGCTGGGGCTGTTCCTCAGCTAGCCCATCTAAACTTAACCGGACTTTGCCATTGCTTCTGGCATGGGTTCTCTCTGTCTCTCTCTGTCCCTCTCCGTCTCCCCATGTCTCCGTCTCTCTCTGTCTTTCTCTGTGCTCTTCCTCCTTGCCTACTCCCATTCTTCTTTCTGTCTTTCTCTTGGTCCTCCTGCCCCAGCCCCAGCTGACTGACAGCTCTATATTATGAAAAAGCCACACTCCTTCCTTACCCACCCAGTGGTCCTTGGGGCACTCTGACCTTTTCCCTACAGCAACTGTGTTTTCTTTTTGGGCAGGTCAGGGAGAGACAAGCATTGACGCTTCCTGCTAGACAAGCATTGACCCATCCTGCTAGCCTGGCACCACCCACCCAGCAATTAAACATTGAGAACACAAGGAACCACTTCCATAGCCAGTTGATCCAATATGTGTGGGCTACAGCAGTCTCAGTTTTCCCAAGGACTCTTCCAGGGATGGTACCCCAATCTCTGCTACAGGAGGGAAGAAAATAGCAAAACAACCCAAGAGTAAAGACACACTCGGGAGCGGCTAGAAGGTGAACCATGTGCAACAGAAGACATCATCCCACTACATAAAAAGGAGAGGCCATAGGAGGCCATCCAAGGAGAGAGTTCAGTCCAGAGCTTCAGCGAACTATCTCAGCTTTCCCCATCATGTTTTCCTTGAAGTCGTGAGAACTTGATTTTATGACATCATCTCTATTTGCTGCTATTTGTTCCTGTGCCTGGAAGCCTCATCTGAGGAGCCAATAGCTTTTCCTCAAGGGGTTTCTGCTAGATATTTTGAGTAACCAATTTGATGATATTCTGCTATCTATTTATCTACATCTTTCTAGTCTTTCAACTTGGATTACTGTGTAATTGATAAATTCACTCATTGGAAACAAAGTACGAGCTGCAGATATGCACACACTGCTCTGAACTCAGTGCACTTCTCAAGCTCACAGTTGCCTTTAACTGCAGATCCCGGAGGATCTGACACCTTTGGCCTCCATGCAACCATGTACAAACATGCACAAACATGCAACCCCTGGCATCCAGATAAATAAAAATAGGCCTGTGTATGGTGGCACACACTCTGAATCCCAACACTTGGGAGGCAGAGGCAAGTGGATCTCTCTGAGTTCCTATGCTCCCACTGCTAGAACAAGGGGACTAAACATCTTCTGTACCTAAATCTGCAATTACAGGGTTAATACCTAAAGATATTTGGATGTCTCGGTATTTCCTTGTCTGCTTTTTCTTGTTTACAGGGAGTGTTCAGTGTTCAAGGTCATGGATGTCTTGGCAGGTCCTTGGTGGGATGTAAAACTCTTACTTTCAGAGTGTGTGAGGCCACAGGGAGGAAAGACGGGAACACCCAAGTGATATGAAGTTTTCCCCAAGACTTGCAGGAGGAACAAAGCTTGGAAATTTGACTATACTTATACAGATAATCTTAATTATCTGTACAATATTACTACACTGTGCCACATACACACTTTGAATCAAATTCTTGTTACAAAATAGAAGTTGAAAAGGATATAAATATGGAAATAAATATATTTTTATTAAAGAGGGTAAATAAAAAAATACCTGTTATTAGAGTGGATTTTGTATAATAAAATAAGATTTTTGTACTAAAAATAAAAGGTAAAAGTCAAAGACAATTTTTTTAAACTTTAAGTCAAGTTATAAACAGCCTGAAGAAAGTACACGGAGCCTGTGAGTGATAAGTCTTAATGATGTTATATTCTTGATGACTAAAGGTTATTAACTACTGAGGTCAAAGTTCAATATACTAGTATCAAAATTATCTTTAAATCAATAGAGTTCTTCTAGGATATTTGTCTACTGTTTTATTGTTCTACTAAAATTTTTCTCATCAATATAACCAGGAAAACTGAGTCTTAACAAAATCAAGACTTATTTAAAACTGTTTAGTAGTTTGGGTTTTTTTTTTTTTTTGAGCCCTATCAAAATGGTACATGGAAGTTTAAATCACACAATTGGTTGTGTTGTCCTTCTGGTGTTCAACAAAAAAGTTGGGAGTTCTACACCAATAAGGGTAAGGGGGTCTTTAAGGACTGCCAATGTTTTGATCCTTACCTTTCAAGATCAGCCAGGACCCATGAGACAGGATCAACAGAACATGTAGGTATATTATTTTGGATTCTGTGGATATGTGCATATAATTTCTAATGGAAAGGAACTCCTGTGACTTATATTCCATCATCTGCTGACTGCAAGAGACTGCACACAGCCCGTGGTGCAGTCAGTCCTGACTGGACAGGAAGCCCTGGGAAACCTCCAGGTAAAGCACGAGAAACATGTGACTAGGCCAGCAGATGATGGGTACCTGGCCATGACAGAATGAACTCACACATCATCTGGTTGTGATTCCACCTCTGTGCTTGTGAATGCTGCCTAACCCCAGTAATGAGGGTGGTCTTCTATACTCAAGTCTACTCAGACTAAGCACAACTCTTCTGGAAATATCACCATAGCCACAGCAACATACAACATTTTACAAGCTACCTGGGTAACTCTCAGTGCTACCATTTGACACATAAAATGTCAGCTTCTGGGAAAGAATGAAGTCTGAGTGAATGGACATTGTCAATATGAACATGCCTATGTCAAGAACCCCAATGCCTCAGACCCATAGCAATGACAAGGCCTAAGGACAGATGTGGACACTGTGCAGAAAGTACTGACCACAGTTTCTTCCTCCAAGATGACTGAGCCTAAGAGACTGGTCCTCTATAGATCCCTACTGAGATTAGCTGGCACACCCCCTTATCCACAGGTATATAATAAACCCAACTTCCTGTTCAGCTGTACCCACTGACTTTCTGGGAAGCTCTTGCATCTCCATCAGAGTACATGGCCCACAGATCCCTGTTTTTCTGTACTTGTTTCAGAGTTTCTTCATATTCAGTTGCCCTAGTCAGGTCAGTCCCAAGGCCATGCAGGTCTTGGCAATCAACCATTCCACTGTATTCAAACCTCAAATACAATAGCAGCTAATTACATTATGCCTGCCGAAAACTAGGGTTTGATTGTCACAGACTCATCATTGAACAGCTCTCTGAGAACTGTGCGAGGTAGAGAGACCATCCACTCTCACCACCAGCTTCATGACTCATTGAGACTCACAGCTCTTCACAGTTCCCAGCATGCCTCAGTGAATGAAATCCCCCAAAACACTCTCTATCCTCTAAAGCTTTATCCCTGCTTGAGGATCTCAGACTAGAACCAAGATATGTCAAAGCTGTGTTTCAGAGCCCAGGACCACAGGCTCAGAGCTCAGACTGTTTGGAAGCAGCTGTGATGCTTGGCAAGGCCAAAGAGCAAAAGAGAAAGACACAACACACGGCAAGTGTGTTTCAGGCTTTATTGTGGATGAGACAGACCTGGGGCAGCTCCTCCATCAGGAATACGCTGCACGACTATTGACCTTCGGGGTAATTCTAGGGAGCCTGAGTTCAGGACAGACCTCAAAGGTTGGGTCAGGTGATGGGGCTGACAAAGCTGCAGAGGGGAGCGGGAAGGAGAGAGAACCAGGAGCCACAGTGCAGGACAGGGTGCTGTCCCTACCCCGGGCCTGCAGGATCCACAGTATGTACAGGTCCTCCCTGTGAATGCCAGCATGACAGGGGCCTTAATCAGTGCCCCACTGGGCTACCTTAGTAAACACAGGTCTTGGGAGGAAGTGGCCACTTTTCATGTAGGCAGAGATCTTCTTCAAGCCCTGCAAATTGGGAAGGACACAGCAGGAGCTCAGGTATGCAGCCCACTCAGAGGAGCAGACCCATGCCAGGAACAGCATTTCTCAAAGGCTCAAGCTCTGGACCAGCACAACCAGTTTAGCTCCCAGTCCTGGCAAGAGAACTCTTCAATTTCCTATAAGGAGAGACTGGACCCTGTGAAGGTGCTTTATACTCACTAAAGGTCACAATACAGGCTCAAAAATACTATAACCACTTATCACAAGGCATCCCGAGGTCAAGAGACCTCAACTGCCCCTTCTTCCACAGGTAGTGATTGAGACAGAGGTGAAGTCAGCTTGGCTCTGGAGCTGTCATTCTCTCACTCCTTCTCCCTCTCCTTCTCCCCTCCCTCCCTCCTTCTTCTTCCCTTCCCCTCCTCCCTCTTCCTCCTCCTCTCCCTTGTCCTCTCTCCATCTCTCTCTGTTTCTGTCTTGTCTCTTTTTCTCCCTCTCCTCTCCCTGAGACATTCCACTGGGAAGCTCTTTCTAGCTTGTATTTAGGAACAGAGGAGGGGGGTCTAACAGGGAAAAAAAAAAAGAATGAAGAAGACAGGCAGAACCCAGTGACTCAGCAAATCCTCTGTGAAAGGAGGCATCAAGAGAACAGGCCACAAAGAAAAGCTGAACCAGATTCTAACCAATTTCCTGAGAGCAGAGTTAACAATTCTTCCCAAGGTTCCCACGATTCCCACGTATAATCTCACTACACCCTGGCTGTAACCCTCTCCACCTCCAATACAAGGACCACTCCATGTGACTGCATGTCGTGTTATAAGCCACACACCAAGGTGAAGAATACAGACAATTCCAGAGGATGCAAAGGCATCCACCAGGGACTATATACATGCTGGGCTAAGGTGCCACTCTATTTCTCCAGCCACCTGCCCTGAAGCCATGCCAGCTCCTGCACAGGCCCCAAGGGAACCCAGCCTGGGCCAGAACCAGAGCCAATGAGAACTAATAGGGAAAGTGCATCTTTGGTGGGCAGTGAGCAAGATCAACAGATCTCATTTGGAAAAACCTTTGGATATAGACTAATCTGATTCCCAGATTTGTGTAGATGATCCAAGATTTTGGGTTCAGCAGCCAAGAGGAATATCAGATGCATCTCACAGACTGGGTTTCTACAGCTCTCTACTGACTTAGTTCCAAGATGGTGGCATTATGAATGCCTTACACACACATTTTGAGATTTTGAAGTGATAAGTATTTCAGGATACTGTTTACAGAAATCTCTAAAATAAAGCAAAACAAAAAACAAAACAAAAAACCAACCAACCAAACAAACAAACAAACAAAATCCCTAAGTAGTTTTTCCTTTAGTCTCAGATCTAGAAAAGCATTGTGAAAGGTGTTAAGATTGAGACCAGGGACAAATAGCTGAGGTGCATACTTTACATACCAAAGTAGACCTGCCCTCTAGGTTCTCCCAGCATCCCTCATCCCAGTGGGTTCTCATCCCAGTGAGAAAGAAGACAACCAAATGGAAGCAGGATCAGAGTATCACCTCAAAGCGGGCCAGGAAGTCCTTCAGGTTTGGGAAGGCGTCCAGGCACTTGGGCTCAAACATACGGTACTGGTCAAGAATGTCATAAGCAAGGAAATCCACATAGGTGACCTGCAGGAAGCCCAGGGTGAGTGCACTGGAATTTGATACCTGGGAAGTATGGCAACTCCTCCTCCCCACCCCTCCCTTTACCTTGTCCCCTGCAAACCATGGCCGCTTGCCCAGGAACTCAGAGTAGATTTTCATCTTATCAGGGATGGCCTTCAAGAACCCTGGCTTCTGCTTCTCCTGAGGCAGAGAACAGCTGTCACCACCTTTAGTCATAGGCTCCCTGGCAGAGAGGCTGCTGGCCTTGAAGGACTGGGCTCATGAATATCACCACCATTTTCTTAGTAGCAGACCTCATCTATCAGAGGTGATTGGAAAACAGACAGGAGTGCTACACTGTCCTTAGATCTGTCACCCCGGTACCTAGCAGCTGTGAGTCATACCCAGGTCTTCCTAAGTATCATCATGCATGCTATAGTCCCAGAGATCCAGTGGGAACCACAGAAACAAAGAACCTAAAGACTCAGGAGAAGACAAAGTTATACTCGCTTGGGGTGTGTGTGTGTGTGTGTGTGTGTGTGTGTGTGTAAGAACAATTTAGATATTTGAAGAACATGCATCAGATTTGAGCAATCACTAATATTGAAAAGAAGAAGGATCAAAGGTCTTCTGGCTGACCCTGACCGAGCAGCATGCTTGGAAAGTACTGGGTACAAGTGTGAGACCATTGTGCATGCCGCTCCCAACCCGTGCATCCTATCTTCATAATATGTTTGGGGGTGGGGGCGGGGTATGTATGTAGGCACGCTTGCCTGTGTGTGCATTTGTAGAAGCTAAAGCCTGCTACCTAGTATCTTTCTCAATCAAATCCTATGCATTTGTGACAGTGTCCATCACTGAATGTAGAGCACACAGACTGGCTGGACTCATTTGCTAGCAAGCACAGAAATCCTCCTGTTTCTTTTCCCATGGTGCTCCAAGGTACTCCTAGTTTTTTTTTGTTTTTTGTTTTTTTAATGTGGGGTACTGGGGAATGCATCATCAAGTCCTCATGCTTGCACATCAAAGACTTTTACCCCTGAACCATCTCCCCAGCCTCTACTTCATCTTTTGAGTCTGTGTTTTAAGAAGAAAATCGTTAGTGTGAACAGTAGCTGAGATGACACATGGAAGTGGTCACAGGACAGACATGACAGGGATTTTAACTCTACATTAAATGCCTAGGAGCAGACTGTTCACTCTATAGAATCCTAACCGGGTCTAGGATGGTTAGACGAGTAGTGATAGTTTCAGTGTTGATGTGATAGACCACTAGGGTAACAAAGGTCGTTCTGCTGGTGAGATAGGAAAGCTTGGAGAATCAGTAACCCAACACAATTCATTCACTGAAGGAGGATGCTACAGATATGAATGCAATACTTTAACTCCTGCTGCAAACTCTGCCTGCTCCACCCACTGGCCACTCACAAAGTCGGGACTGCAGCAGACTATCATGAGTTGTATGCGAGTATCCATGACCTGGTTCTCCAAAGTATCCACACGAATCCTCTCCTCCTCTGTCTCTCCACCTGCAGCACACACAGCACACTCAGCATCCCAAACCAGCCAAGCCAAGGAGATAGTCCACCATGCCCTACCCTGCAGGCAACCCCACTCACACAGGTTGTGCTTGCGGCCAAGGTAGCGCAGGATGGCATTGCTCTGGGTGACCTTGTGTGAGCCATCAATTAAGTAGGGCAGCTGGATGGACAAGCAGGGACAGTCAGATGGGTTATGGGGTCTCAGCATCCCTTCCCTTCCCTGGGTGAGGACAGACATGGGGCCTGGCACTCAGTGTGCCTGCCATGGGAATCCCTCCATGAGCACAGTGCACACTGAATGGGAGAGCTGGGACACAGCCCATCACAGAAACACTGTGCAGTCAGCAGGGGTGGAGCAGGTGAGCAGAAACACTGATCTTAAGCTCCTTCAGCCAGGCCAGGAGATGAGGTAAGGACACCAGACCTTCCCCAAACCCCACCTTCCCCACACCTACATTGGGAATGTCCAGGCCAAGATTGAACTTCTCACTTAGCCACTGGCTTCTGTCAAAGTTGGGAGCTGTGGTGGACAAGATAATGTGAAAGGAAATCAGTGCGTCATCCCTGACAATCCATCCTCAGGGACCCAACCAAGGAGACCTGAGCAAGATATCCTGAGGTGGGGGCTGGGGGATCTGCAACATCTCACAGGAAGCCATTCACAAGATGAAGGAGAGGGGATGAATAACTGGTAAGAAGGGGAGCCTGGACCCAATGGGACCCCCAAAATGAACCCAGCCCAATTATAAATACAGGTGGGCCAGGAACTCCAGTCTCACTGGTCTCTCTATTATTGAGGCAAGATCTCTCAATTACATAACCGAAGCTGCCCAGAAATTGTGTAGACCTGGCTGACCTCAGACTCAGAGATCCACCTGTCTCTCTGCCTTTCGAGTGCTGGATTTAAAAGCAAGCTCCCCACATCTGGCCAGTGCATAGAAAACCAAACTGCACCCTCAAGAGGTTCTGGAAGGAGCAGGCTCTAGCTCCAGCTGTCCGAGGTCTGCAGAGCTGAGGAATAAGCGGTGAGGTACGGGAATCCCTGGGCAAGAGGGAAGCAGGTGTTTGACCAGGAAGGTGTCATTACCATCCCCCATGACATATCTCTTCTCCTCATAGCTTGAATCTGTGTATTCCAGGAGCAGGCGGATGGGGTGAGTCAGCTGGGAAAGACGGTCACAGGGGTTAGAAATGGTAGGACCTTTACTGGATGACTTCAATCCTCGCACACTCCACAAACACAGCCACCCTGCGGTGTGTACACATACACTCACACGTGCCCTCTCTCTCACACCTGCAGCCTCCCAAGTCTGTGAGCTCCAGGGTGCTAAGAGGAGTATCCCTCTGCTAGAAGCCGCCCTGATCGCTCTGAACTTCTCGCCTGAGTCCTTGTCCCACCCTTCAGGCGGATCCCTCTCTCACTCCGCGGACGTTCCAGTATCCCAGAGTCATAGGCATGGCGCTGGCGCCTTGGTCTTCTCAGACTGGTTTCAGGTAGGTTGATCTGGGGAATTTTAAGGAGGCGCTAAGGGAAGGTGGGTGGGGCCCTGTAAACGGTCCCGCCCTCAATGCCCTAACCCCACTCAGGCACTGCCTTTCCCTCCAATTATCCTCAGAGACTTTGAACCCGAAGCCAAAGGACCTCACCCACAGCCCGGGAGAGGCAGGAGTAGGATCCCATGCAGCTTCAGGCCGTGGATTCTGATCAGGTTCACAGGAACGGTCCCCCAGCCCCGGTCAGTGGCAGCTTAGATGCTCCTTTAGTGCTTTCGGTCACCGCCCCCTACCGGGTGCCCCAAAATTTGAAAATGCAGCTTTCTGATCCTGGTAGAACTTGGGTTTTCACCCCTATACTGTGGAAATCTGTCTTTCAGACAGTCCCAGATCTCAACAGAAGATAAAGCAGGGTGGCCCTCACGTGAAAGTTTAGCTCAGCATCTATCCCTGAGTACAGAGTCGCCCCTTGACAGCTGCTAGGCTTTAGTATCCACCAGAGCCTTACTATTCACCTAGAGTCATAGGACAGTCCATAGGATAGGAAGACTCCAGGACAGGGACAATCAGAAAACAAGTACTCCCAGTGTTCTCCTTTAGGTCATCAAACTAGTGACCATATAAGTCAGTCACTATTTTTGGCCATGTTTGTAAGCTAAATCCAAGAACCAGATACCTAGGGCACAAGAAATCTGAGACACCATCACAGCACAGGGTACCTGGCTGGGAGAACTTCCCACGGGTTAGCGCTGTGCAAGGGAGCAAAGAGCCCGCAGCTGGGGTGTGCCATATAGAGGGAGAGCATGTGTCCCAAGAGACACACTTTCAAGGGACAACAGGATGCTGTACACATGGGATCCTGTAACACTTTGCACAGGGCACAAGGTGCCCAAAGCTAGACCCTCAGCTGTCCATATCCCTGGATGCTGGACCTGTCCCAGGCTCCTGACGTGTTTGTATATGACAGAGTGGCTCAAATCACCTTTCAGGTTACCCTGGGATATATGTCCTGTACTATAACCTTCACAAGGACAATGCCTACCAAGAACACTGTCTTTTTCTTCTTCTTCTTCTTTTTTTTTTTTTTTTTTTTTTTTTTT